ACAGGCCAAAAGCCGACCGTATTAACCGCCCGGGAGATACCTGCTCTTTCTCTCTCTCTCTCTCTCTCTCTCTCTCTCTCTCTCTCCCTCCGCGCGTGCGGTCGCACCCCGGCCAGATGGAGCTAGGACGGGGAGCAGAGGGGGAGGGGGAATTTAATATCCGTTCCGAGTGAACACATCCGCGTGCGCAGCACGCGAATAACGGATAGCACGGCCGGCCGAATTGCCCAGACAAAGTGCGCTCGCCGCGGAAACACGCGGAAAATCGCGCAGCACGACGCGGCGCGGCGCCGAGCGAGCGAGCGAGCGAGCGAGCCGGAAGCTGCGATTTTGCAGCGATAGCTCGATTTATGGGTCGCGTCGCGCTGCGCAAAAAGCTCGTCCGCGCGAACGAAGAAGCGGGCGAATTCACTGACCCTCTCTCTCTCTCTCTCTCTCTCATTTGTTCACTCACCTCCCCCGCGATTTCACATCGAACGGATAGAGACGGTTGTTGGTATCGCGGTCGTTTGGCGACCCGACGGTTATCAAACGCATGTCGCGACATGGCCGGCCGGAGTGATTCGCCTCGCCCCATCGCGACTCTCGTGAGTTGTCATTTACGACTCGTCCGATTGTGTACGCCGATGTGTCCCCCTTTCCTTTCTCTATCCATCCATCCATCCACCTGTTTCTCTCCTCTCAAAAATATTTTCGGCGCAAATATTTGCGCAGATTTTTACGATATGATGCTTATCGTGAAATAATAGATGTTGGATGCGCGCGCGCGCGTAACGACAGTTATTTATTCGGCCGCTGCGATTCGTCAAAGCTTGCTCGACGGGTGTTGATGCGTTTTTAGTTGGAAAGTACTTTGGCGCGCGCGAGGCAGACAGGGAGAGAAAGAGGGCGAGGGGGCAGATGGGAAAGCAGTCGCGCGCTCGCGTTTATTGGCGACAATTTGTGTTTATCAGAATCGGATAAAAAGAATCTTGGCGTAGTTACGTTGCATCGAACACGCGACGGCAAAAACGGTTCCTGCGGTTTTTACAGCGGACTTCATGATCCGCCGGATCTCTGTACGTGTGTGTGTGTGTGTGTATGTGTGTGTGTGTACGCGCACGCGCGTGTTTCGCTCTCGTTCCCGTCATGCAAGTACACCTCGAGCTCGATATTTTCAAGAGAAGACTTGTGCGACGAAATTTTTAGCGATTTACGCAACGTCCACCGTGTTCAATCCGAATTAGACAATGACAGGACGCGCGTATCGTGTCGCTTCGCGCAAAAATAACGCCCGCATCCGGCGAGCACCGGATAAGAGTCAAAGGACTCTCGCTGTCGCCCTGCCGAAATGCTGGCAGAAAAAATTCGTTCGCAGCACAAGAGAGAGAGAGAGAGAGAGAGAGAGAGAGAGAGAGAGAGAGAGAGAGAGAGTGAGAGAGTGAGAGATCATTCCCTCCCGTTCTCTCTCTCTCTCTCTCCCTCTTTCGTCCGGCCATTGACGCCTTTCTTCGCACACGTATTCGCAAGAGCCGTTTTTGCGCTGCAACTTCTTTTTATCCGCGTCGCGCCGTTGACGTCAATCTCTCGCTCTCATAAATGCCGGCACATGTGCCAGCCTCTCTCTCTCTCTCCCTCTCTCTCTCTCTCTCTCTCTCTCTCCCTCTCTCTGTCTTTGGACCAGCGGCGGCTTTTCGTCCACGGCGGCATTTCGCTCTCGGCATAGCCGCGCGGCATGGATCGTGCTTTAAAGAGCCAATCAAAATTCTACGCTGACCCACTTTGTAGTGGCTGACCAACGACTCGACCCGCGGCTTGATAATCGCCGGCGAACGTGATCGCGCGATTCGATGCGTCCGTGTGCCCGGCTGCCCGCGGCCATAAACCTCCATCGTATCACGATCCTGTTATCCAAATCGCGCGCAAGGATACGCGGGATCCCGCAATCGGCGGCAAACAATCCGCAAAGAATTGCGGACCCTGCTCGCTCTCCGATATATTGAGTCTGATCGCATTTGCGGCTAGCTCGGCAAATAAAAGGTGCACTTTGGCGGGCATTAGGCGCGAGTGCGTTTGCACTCGGCGAGATGAAAGCGCTCGTAAAAAGAAGAGGCCGCTGCGCTAGAACGCGCGGGGGGGACTTTGCGAACAACATAGCGTATACGCAACGCTCGGAATTAGAAAGGAACGGAGCAGGCTCGTTCTCCCGAGCGAGGTGAATTCGCAGATTACACTTTCCTCTGCTCTTCCCCCTCCCCCTCCCCCTCCCCCCCGCCCGCCCCCGCGGTGCTAATTAACAGCGATGATCGATCCGTCCGGTCTTCTGTTCGCGCGCTGTTCGGGGAAGCGAGCGAGTCGACGTGTTTTTCGCGCGGAAGAGCCGGCCGCTAAGTCAGCAGTTTACAGTCACCGCGTCGAAAATATTAGAACGGATGACCCGACAAATCATGACGCGCGTATATTTTATTTCGCGGCCCACGCGAAGACCGCGTCCGACCGCCATCGAATCGATAACCGATGAAACACTTTGGGATGTTTTCCCAAGCGGAAACGGTTATTCGCCGATCAATCAAACCCGCCGCGGCTCGCGGCGCGGCGGGGGGGCCCGCGGGGGATTCATCGTCGGGGAATAATTACCACCGGTGAATATGAATTTACGCGCACGACCGCTGTTTGCCGATGACCCGCGGACTTTTCGATGGCTCTCATGTGCGCGCACCAATTTCATTGAATCCCATGCGGTGCGTGCATGCGTGCATGTGCGTGCGTATGCGTGCGTGCGCGCGCGGGAACGTTAAGTAATAATTTCGGTCGCTGTTTAGCGTCGCCTACGCGCGGCAAGAATTAGCTCGCTTAAGCTTTGCAGTTGACAGAATGACAAATCACCGGGGGGGAGAGAGAGAGAGAGAGAGAGAGAGAGAGAGGAGAGAGAGCCGTCCTCTCTCTCGCCTACACGCCTCGCCAATGCGCCCGCGAAGTTTCTATGGCGAAACGCAGCGACGCGCAAGAGCGGCGAATCAATAAGCGGCGGCGCGGCTACGTTCGCGGCATTATTAATTATCGAGAGCGATTAACCGCGCGGATTTTTCGCAGTCGTTCACCTCGCCGCTTACAGAGAGCCCGCGTAGAAACTGAATCGATCGAGTTCTCAACGCGGATCTCGCCGCGAGAACAGCTCCAGCGTGAGAGCGCGAGTCGCGCTTATTGTCAATTTATACGGCGAGATTGAGGAACGGGGAACTCAGACTTGACACGTCGGCGGATACGTCAACGGGGCTCTCTTTCTCTCTCTCTCTCTCTCTCTCTCTTTCTCTCTCTCTCGGCCGCTTTAATCGACGGCACCGCGGCCTGCCTGCGCGAAAGTCGGATCGGTGTTACCCCGCGCTCGCTCGAGCAAGACAGATCGCCCGCACAAGCACCCGGTTACTTCTACAAGCTTTCCGAAATTACTCTCGCGCTCCTTCGAATCGCAAATCGCATTCCGCTCGCGCGGCTAAATGCAAATAGTCGGACGGCATCGCCGTCGCGGAAACCTCGTCGGGGCTCCCTCCTGGCGCGCTCCTGTCGACAAAAACAAATTCCTACGCTATTGGCCGGGTCGATAGTTCCGTACTCGCGGAAACGGGAACGGGGACGGGGTCGAAGTTGGCGGAGTTTGCGGGAGCCGAGGAGGAGGAGGAGGGGGGGGGAGGGCGGCTGCCGAATTTACCCATTGTCCGTACCGGTGTCAAGGACTTTTGTCGTTGTAATTACCGCCGAAGTGGCGCGGCTGAGGGGTGGTGGCGCCGGCGGGTGTTCGTACCACGGAGAGTGATAGGGAGAGAGAGTCTCTCCCCCGCGGCGCGCAAAAAGCAGCTTTATTGCGCGTTGATCGCGACGGTCGATTAACGCGCGGCCACGCGCGCGTCACCGCGCGTGCAAACCGCTCTATTTGCGCCGGTAGAACCCGGCGATTTTCGGCCGGCGCTTTTTTCGCGTGTGAATTCGAATAACCGCGCGATCGGGCCCCCGCCATCGAAAATATTTCGCTTCTCGAGCGTTTACCGGAGCGTTCGCGTCGCCTTTAATTCGGCGCGTTCCGCCGTCCGCCCGCGCCCGCGGCAGCCTCACCAGCGGGTGGAAGGAGATCGATCCCTCCGCGGAGATGGATTCCGCATGGCGGATTACGCGTGACAATTACGCGGGAATTGCGAAGGAAGAAAACTTGGGTATTTCGGCACCGGGAAATGTGGCCTCGCGTTAGGTACGAATGACAATTTGATGAAGCCAGAAAACACGGCCTTCTCGCCCGATCGAAGGTCGGACATTTCCGCTCGTCGTGCGAAAGTCCGCGGCAACGAGAGAGAGAGAGAGAGAGAGAGAGAGAGAGAGAGAGAGTCGTTTTCTCGGTAATGAGAGTCAGCGGCGTAATTGACGCTAAAACGCCGCGCCAGCAATGAGAGATAATCAGCCGGTGACGGTCGTCGAGGAGTAACTTTGGACGGCGATTTGGCCGGAGTGAAATATTCCACACGCCGCGCGTTTTTTTTCCGCGAGTGCGGGCTCGCTGCTTTCGGCGCGCCTGTCGCTTGATTTCCATATAATCGAATGCATAAAGGGAGGCGCGTCAATGTCGCGCGTTGTAAGCGAAACACTGTGTAAGTGCGCGCGGCCGGCTGCCGCGATCGATACGGCCGACGCTATATTCATTAATGTGGAAGCTTCGCTAAAAAGCCTCGCGAAACCCTCGTATTACGATGTAAGCTCCGGTGCGAGCCTCCCTCCCTCTCTCTCTCTCTCTCTCTTCTCCCCTCCTCGCCCTTTTTTTAGACCCGACCTGTTAACACTCAAGTAGTTCCGTAAGAGTCACTTGACTTATAAATTTAGGTGCCGTACGCGCGCGGCAAGCGCGAGGCGGACTACGTTTACTCACCGTTGCCAGGACCGAGAGCTTCCGCTCGAGTTTCCGTTCTCCCTTCCGTGTACTCGGCGACAGCCTCGCAAGCGCGATATCTCAAGGTGAACTTAATTGATTGTTGCAGTTCCGTCTCCGGACTTCAGCAGACACAGCCGAGTGCGGCCGCGAGTGTACCACGGCAGGACGAAGAGGCAGATCTCGTCGACCAACGAAAACGTGAGTACCCGATGATATTCTTCCCCTCCCCCCCTCTCATATTTTTTTCTCCTCTCTAAATTCACGTCGCTATTACGCAACGACCGTCTACCCGTTAGACTTAATAGCGACGCGACCAAGCGAAGCCCTTTCGGGGGCGATCACTTAGGGCCGGCGCAAACTCCGGCCACGGTGTTGCGCTCGTTTATAACGAGCAGCTTCGAATCTACCCATAGAAAATGTATGTAACTTCGCTCGAGAATGTGAACTTTAAAAATCAACTTTGAGAACATCCGATAGCCAACTCGAAAGCAACTGCTACGAGCGCAACGATTCGTCTGTTAAACTCCACGGCGCAGAGTCGACGACGTCCCCGAGCCTTACCGAGTCCTGTTCGTGTTTTCTCCACCGAGCGAGTATCCTTCATTCGGCATTTTTCATTCGGAGGATGCCGCGAGAGAGGATTCGCAACCGCTCTTTCCTCCTCTTAACCGTCGTTTGCTCCGCAAACGGCAACGGCAACAACGCGCACACAACACTCTTGCCTTCGCGACGTTTCTCCGTGCCAATTACCCGGCACACCGGATATCCGGCAGACCTCTGGCAAGGATTAACGCCCGCGCGATCCGTGACCTTCCCTCGGCGCGCTGCATTATTCGCTATCGGCCCTCGTCGCGAGCGGCCTCTTTTTCCGTGCGATTTTTTGCGCGCACTTTCGTCGTTTGCTCGGACGGATTACGATGCGAGACGCGGATCGGCGCCGGGTGCAACAATTTCAATGCAAATGCCGCGGCGTGTAGCGAATACAAAACCCGCCGAGGATCGCTGCTATTAGATAGCAACGCAATAGAGGAGGCACACAGAGAGAGAGAGAGAGAGAGAGAGAACGGCGGAAAAAGAAGAGTTCATTCTACGAGGTCGAGCCGTCGACGGCGGATTCGGAAAAATCTACCAACCGCGGTGGAATATGCAACGGAAACGCGTTGCATGACGTGTTACCCCGTCGAGAACAAACGGGGCTCGGCAAAATGCGCCGTTCGGTCGATAGGAATTTCGATGCCGCTTTTTTTCGAGAGAGGGCCGAGGTCCGCGCAAAGAGAAAGAAAGAATATATCCGACGCGTTTTTAAAAACGGATAAAAATACATTCCCGGAAATACATATATATCGCGTCTTCCGTCAAAGGAGAGACAATTTCCCCGGGTATCAAAGGCACTCTCTTTCTCTCTTTTTTTCGAGGAACAAAGAGAGAGAGAGAGAGAGAGAGAGAGGTTCCTTTAAAAGCTCCGTAAAACCCTGCCCCCCTCCCCAGAGTTAAATCTCGTCGCGTTTACTCGCGACGCTGCGAACAACAGTCGGGACAATAGCCAGACTTAGGAGCAGAAATATGTGTGAATACGCGGGCTTCGTGATTAAACGAAATGAAAATGTCCCCGAGCCGCGATAATTTTTGCGCGCTCGCTAAAGAGACACGCGCCACGCCGTCGGCCGCGAGAAATATAAAGCAACCAGCCCTTTATGCGAGAAGACTGTTTTGAATAAAGCACATTCTTCCCGCCGTGCTATCTTCGCCGTTCGCTCGCTCGCTCGCTCGCTCGCTCGCTCCTTGCCGGGGCAGCGGGCACGTGCAGCGTCGCGCAGGAGTGGATGGCGAGAGAAGTGCATACTTACGGGAACAACAACAACACACAGAATTTACATCGGGCGTATAAATGCCGCGGTGTCGTCTCCTCTGAATCCGTTATTCGGCGGCTGCCACGGATGGACTCGCACGTGCGCCACTTTGCAAGTGCAACGTGCCGCGTATCCGACAATTCGCATCTTCGCGGTTACCTCGCCGAACGGGAGAGCGGAGGGGAGGGGGGAGGGGGAGGGGGGTGCAAGGCGCGTCGCAAGAAAACGTCTTACTCTCGCGCGAGCCGAACTTTGAGAGTTTGCAGAGTGTTCGACTCGGTTGCGCTCTCGCGCCGTATGCGATATTTAATGGACGTTAAATTCATCGAGTTTGCCCGACTCGAAATTTTGATCCCGCTTTCGACCGCGGTATTCCGCTCGACGCTAATTCAATACTCTGAGGTCTGTGTATTTTGATTCTATTTCACTCACAGCCTCGCCGTGAAGCCCTCCTGAGTAGTACCTGCAAGAGGCAAATGCCGGCGGATTTTCCGCCGGCATCCAGGCAGGCACGCCGAGTAGGACTTCGGTTTCTATAAATTAAATTTATATAGATTAAATCTCCGCGCGGAGTCTATACTACACTGAGAGAAAAGTATACGATATTTGGAACTATAATGATGTAGTAACTAAATTATAGTCCGAAGTATCATATTTATAGTAAGTATTGCCATAATATCGGTAATAATTACGATATAGGCACACTATAACCAAGCATATAATCTTTTTACTAAGAATTAGTAGTAAGTTAAACTAAAATTATCATACGGATACAAATATAAAATGGTAGGTGAAATAGCTCTTTCATACAGTCAATATTACCGGAATATTTGCTAAATGATGACAGATGTAACTGTATGAATATTAAATCTCACTATATTTGTGAATGAGAAATTACCATATATGTGGTAAAAGTAACTAAACAATTATTTCAGACAATCATTGACTATATGTTTGTGTTTATTCCACTATGTTTTGCAGGTTTCCACGAACTATAAAAATATGGCCAAAATGAACTACAAAATATAGTGAGATTATAATTAATTCAACTATATTTTCCTATCAGTGTACGTTACTCGAGATCGAAAATAGGGTCAGAATTTGGGACCCGACGTGAGAGAGACGACGACGCGAGAAGTTCCTTCGTCGCGGCACGAGATTCTCGTGCTCCAGACTTTGCCGAATGAATCCTTGATATCGCGCGAATATCACACGTAAGTGCCGCCATATTTGCAGCACCCCGTCTCGATCACGTTCCCTTATTGTATCAGCCGTAAACTAGGCCGCGAATCTGTCTAATCGGACGTACGTGCTCTCCACCGAACAAAACAATTCCGTCAAACGATATCGGTCCCATTCTCGCCGCTCGGCGACGTACGTACGACGATAAATACAACGATAAAATGCGACGCCGCGGAGCATCGCGAGTAGCGGCGACGTTCCAGCACGCGCGCGCGCGCTCTCTTCTGGGACATCCACGCCTTCGCGGACGTCATGAACAATCCGCTTTATTGGCCTCCGCCCAGCGCGAGTCGTCGACCGCCTTGCGAGAGCGCAGAAACGCGAGCACGCTCGCGGCATTGCGACGATAACGCAACTACGGACGGTAAGGACGCGCGAGAACTTCAGGTACGGAAAAATCAGCAGGACGTAGGAAAAGTGCACTGTCGCAAACAAGCGCGATAGTCAGCTCGGGCAGCCATGTTGCGCCAGACTTGTCCCTGGGATCCCTTTGGATGAACCAGCTGAAATAAAAGCCTCGTCCTCGCGAGGGTGTATCGAATGAAAGGAAAATAACGGAGAAGCTCGGCTCCCGCTTTCGGCGAACGGCCAAGAGAAAGCGCGACGTCAGAGCGGGAAATGCGCTTAGTTTAGTTTCTCAGCAGCGTAACGCTGCTGAGAAACCGGCGAGTTTCGATTTTAGGGAGCTTCCAGCTCGTATATCGAGGAAAAAAACACGCAGAGCACAACCGGATATCCGGTATCTCGCCTTTAGCGATTGTTGTTTTTCTCCCTTTTCCTAGTTTTCTATTTTTTTGGGTTTTTTTGTTTTTAATCCGGGGATTCCAGCACTAACGATCCGGCGATCGTGCGGACGTAAACACACCCGCCCACTCACTCGTATTCGCATGCGCACACACACACACACACACACACACACACAAAATACGTTGATCCTGACAGAGCAGCTGCACCGTGCGCGGCATTTAGTCCGGATGTTCGAGAGCACAGAGTTTACGTCATTTGACGTGTGTCATGCGGGACGCGGAGAACATGGCGCGTGCAAGTTCGCTAATACCGCGGTTGCTCGTCCAGCGCAAGATTGCGAACGTTAGCCCCCGGCTACGGAAATTCAACTCGCGCGCGCGCGTCACGCGCCCGTAAACGGCACGAGCCCTTACGATGACGTGGAAACGGAGTCGACGGAGAGCGACGCGCGAAACCTAACCAACAGTCGACGGCGCAGAAATGAATTTTGCAGACGCTCGCACGCTCGGCTGTAATATTAAGCGGAACGTCGTTCGTCGGCGGATTGAAGCGTCGCGCGATTTGCACGAGGAGCTTCTTTTCGAGACTTCGCGAGACTTGAAAATGGCAAGACCTGGGCCCACGGCACAACTTCCGAAGCTGGAAGCTGAAAGTGTAGTTGCAGAGAGTGAGAGAGAGAGAGAGACTTTTCGAGCGACACATCTCAGTGCTGGAGGAATATTTAATATAATCGGGACATTGTTAGCTGATATCGATAATGGAACCCGAGACCGTCCAGCTGACCGCCTGGATCACCTTGCGCAATGTTAATCTCGGTCGGTGCGTTTGTTGACGCGCTGCGCTTACATGGAACAAGCAAGCGCGTCTCGATCGGCTCGGCAGATCTTCTCGGCTTGTCAGTGCGAACACGGGCGACCTCCACTGGAGCTGAATACGAGGTTCGATCAGAAAGTAACGAGAATTTTTAATTTTCTCGGAAAGTATTTACTTCATCTTCAATGTTTATCCCGTCTCCTTCAAAGTAGTCCCCCTGTGACATTATAAACTTATGCCAACGTAATTTTCAGTTTGAGAAACACTGGTGGAACGCCTCTTTAGGTATCGTCTTGAGCTGGATCTGCGATTTCGCCTTTACCTCATCTATTGGAAAGAAAAAATGTTGTCCTTTGAGCGTCCTTTTGAGTTTGGGAGATAGGAAAAAGTCACAGGGTCTGGAGAATAAGGTGGTTGCGGCATCACAACGGTGAGGTTGTGTTTCGCCAAGAACTGTTGGACAAGCAAAACGGTATGCTCTCTGATCCGACTGATTTCGCCACACAAAAAATCGCCAAACACACTGAAGCGCGTCTCGCTCATTCG